TCCCCGATACGTTCCCTCGAATCTCTGGACAAATTCATATTTGTTTCCAACCTCAGGGATGTTCTTAAATAAATGCATCTTTTATTCCGCACATTCCTTAGCCCGGTTAACCAGAACCCTCCAAGTGTTTTGCTCTCAAACGCTCAAGTTCCCGTCGCTCCTTCAGTTTCCCTTCCTGCAGGTTAGGAACTGATATTCCAAAACTATGCAGGGAACTAAAACGCACTTTTTCTGCTGAAGAAACGATCATTTGCTCTGGTCCATCACCAGTCGCCGAGCAAGCTGGTCCCCTTCTGATGTGGTTCGCAGCTCCCGGTTCCCTGCAATCAATAATAGCCCTGATGATCTTAAATGCGCACAAAACACGAGAAAGCTGGCTTTGCTCTCCACTTACCCACCAACTTCACCTTGTCTAATTGTCCTACCCCGTCCAACTTATTATTCCATTGGCACGGCTGTTCTATGTCATATATGTCATTTTTATTACACACCTTGGTGTGGTGAACAGATGGGGACCTGCAGTTCAGTCATGAGAATCGGTAATCCAAGTCCCGGGACTCACAGTGGCGAACCACATTGGGCCCCCGGATTGTGTGGTACTGATCCGGACGACAGCAAAGCTGTATACCACCTAGGTTGTGTGGAGGGGTTCGAAGTTCAGAAAATAGGGTCCAAAGCACGCCGGTGGCAGCGACCGAACCACTGCACCACCACCACCACCCATTTGGGTGATCACTCCCAAACGCCTTGCTTTCTGAAGTTGGGCAAACCACGCGGTGCGTGCACTTACTATCCATGGTCCTCAAAATGCGTGATTCCGTTTCAGATCATATCTTTAGCCTGTTGCTTCAGCTTTCTACTTTCCCTAAACTTGGAAAACACCGTTCTCCATCCTCAAATGTTGGGACCTTCCATGCTCTATTTCCCCCACCTGGTATTTTGAAAGTATTTGAAACCACTATCTCTGACCAAATGCAGCGTCCTTATGTGGAAGGCTACTGAGCGATAGCCAACAAGGCTACCGATAGCCTCGCCTTACTCTCATCCCATAATCCTGGTCGACTGTCCTCGCTAGTCGCGGAAAACTCTATTCTTGCTCTACATTTCAAAACCTTTGACTCATTTTGACACGGAGGATCACTGGCTAAACTGCTCATGTTTGGATTAACTCACGTTTCTGTTGGGGGTTATCAAGCTTCCCTATTAAGTTTCAGTTTGTACAACCATTAAGCATGCACTTTCGTGCGCCGGTTTTAGTTGCTGCCTTCTAGCTGCCCATTTGGATGAAGCAGTAGGAAGTTGAAAGCACAGTTGAAGATAAAATGGAGAATATCAGTGAACCACGGCTGCATAGAAACTGAGATGAACGAACGCCAATGAAAAACAATTAGCTAGTTGGTGGGGTTCGCCATCAGGCGTTAGCTGAGATTACTGGCATCCATGTTTTAACACTGATGCCTTAGGGTTTTTCCTATTTATCAATGATGAAATATCAAAAACTCAGAAACCAAACTAACCCTCAGTCGATGGCGTTGTCTTCCTCTACGCACTACTCACCACTCTACTAATCTGGACTGTGGATGTAGTGCAGCAATTGCGTCATTGGAGCCTGACCTAGAGCACATCTCACCACGGCACTACCGAATTCGTGCAGCACCCGATATTCTCAAGAGTTATCCTTTGATTCATTTGAAACGCTGATTATTCTGCGGACATCCATCTTTCAGTTCCAGTCAGCTGCGCTCGTTTCTCTCCCTAGACTGTCTATAACCACTTTGTTGCCGTTTAACATCGGCGCTGACGGCCAAGTGGTTAGGTCACCAACTTGTGACCCATGAGCTCCGGGTCGAACCGCTCCATCCTCCCCAACTTGCTGAATGTTGACTGCACATTTGTATACTCAATAAATAAAAAACAAAATAAACATTTGATGACGTTTTTACTTAACATTTCAGCTTCCTTCTAATACAACACGGTATGCTCAGCAACTGCGTCTAACCCCTCCCGTACAGAGGCAGTAATTCATCCCCACCAGATTACAGCGGCTTATTTCCCCATTCCAAACCTCTCGTTCCCCACCAAACCGCGAACTAATGGAACATCCACTCTTGCTATATATCGCTCTTACACACGGGATCGATGAACCGTTTCTGAAATGAACGATTGTAGACCTACACTGGTTTTCGACTATGGGGTTTGCCATTTTAATGAATCTGATGTATAAAATCGCCCTAGCAATTTTCGTTGGTATCATACATTGTCCACGGTTAACCACGTGTCTGGGATTCACGCTGGTCATGGACCAAGTCGAAGACGCAACCGCATTTTCACCTAGCCCAATTTTCGAAAGCATTCATTATCTTCGAGGATTTATTTTATATCTAGCCGCTGACTGCACCCTATCCCTGCAAGTGAATGAACTTCCGTTCGAGGTTATGCGAAGATAGGTTGCTTCAATAACGCAGTGATTCAAGTGACTCACCACCATGGACTACGGATAGTGAGAAAGGTTACGCGTGCAACCAGATAGGTCAACTCGATCAGCAATGTCCTCCGAGACAGGCAATGAGTAGGTCTTCCTGGATGGGGACCCCGAGAGCATGGTAGCCACTGGTTAGAGGCTGTGATGACTGTGGCCAACAGTGGCGCTCCTGCATCTACTGTTTTCTTTCAACTCCGGCCTATATGGATTTTATCTTCTTTCAACATTCTACTGTTTTAAAAAAATAGTCAGTCAAAAGATAGCAACCTAAACCGGTACATGAAAACGCATGGTCAACGGCAGTAGGTCGTAGAAGCACAAATTGCAAAACGAATCCAACGCCAAGGAACATAATACCCAATCGACGACCGGGAGTTGAATTCCTCTGTTCGACAGTCAGTTCCGGTCTAATCAGCAGATAGATGCGGCCGAGTCGCAGGAGTATTTTCTCGCCCTATACAAGCCAGCACACTTGCCTTTCTCGTCTAGATACTTCCAGCTGTTGGTTGACTAAACACCTAGCTGTAAGACACCGTTGTATTTAATGATCGTAAACAATGAACTGCTTCTCGACCAGATCACTCAGAAGTATGACCATTGAGAGATGAATTTGAGAACAACACCATGAAACATTTAAAGCATCAGCATTAGAACTACTTCGCCTTCCTGACGGAAGCTCGCGACCACTGATCGACAGAACTGTAGTAGTGAGACAGTTTTGTATATCTCAGATGCAGTTTCCAATGGAAAGAAAACAAACGGGCCTTAAGTGTGTGAATAGAACCGTTGCGTCGATGGTTTCACTCGCGCGCACAGGATTGAGACATCGCAATCACCCGTAAGCACCAGACCATCAAAATTAAGCCGAACACTTCGCATCACATTTAGACTAATGGTAGCTACATAAACGGTCATCATCGTACGGAAATGACAGGCCTCAAAAGGTATCCTTTACAATAACCAATATTTCACCGTTCGCTGTCAGCTGTTTTAAGCGTGAAGTCACCCCGTACGTTCTTCGGAAGCCACTTGCGAATCATACCCGTTTTGCACAAGTGTCCCGCTTGATTTTTCCGGGACACCATGCAGTTCGAAATGCGCATTATTCAAAGCCAAAAAACCGAAACTGAACCCAAGTTCAATCGCCTTTTGAAACGCAGGGTATAATTCACCTAGTGGGAAATTCGCTGAACTGCCATGTGCAACTCGCTAGTAGACTTCTTTTATGGAGAACTAGTGCGCTTATCTATTTGCATGTCCTGGTACGAGTAATACTCTCTCCTAAACAGCAGCCTACTCCCTGTTTACGTTCTAAATGAACGAACCACCAAGATAATCACGTGCAGACATCTCCGGATCACGTTGATAAGCGCATGAAACCGGATAGACCACGGCGCACGTTGTCTGGTGGGACGCTGCAATCTGAGGAAGCAATATGAACTTTTACACCTGTTGGTCTTTTCAGTTAGATTAAATGATCGCAACGCAAAGCATCGAATTAAATATTCCGAACGCGCTACCTGTGACTACGTTCGCCACTTACAGTGGCTGAGACCAATCCTTTTGTAAGCCCGATCCCTAGTAGAACATTCGGTCAGGACGAAGTCAGAGATGCAGATATCACTAACAGAACCAACTTCTGACGACGATTCGGGCTTCGAAGAACATCAGTGGAGCCACGCATACACTCCGACCGGACGAGGGGAAACACATTTGTCAACAAGTAGGACTAATACCACCGACAAATACTCACAAGCCACCCTGAATGGAACTAGAAAAGTGAAACGGTGAATTAATCGACCGGCGGTTCTTGGCACTGCTACTCATGGAACGCACAACGTATATTAGCCTGTAGAAAAGATCGGTTACGCATGAGATCATACGAAGGGCGGTGCAGATGGCAGGTGAACAGGTTTGGAGCGGCATCAATATTCATGGGCAAACTATTGCACTCGCACGAAACCGAGCGAGGTAATCGGCAGCGAAATGCGGATTTTGTTGACAAACGGTCGGGACAGAGATCTTAACACATAAAGTAGCCGTTGACACAAGTCGCGACCTAAACGAGTGGTTACACAATGTGGTTAGTATTGCGATTACGGACACGAACATCGGGGCATACAGAACCGAAAACTCTCAGGGGTCTAGAGGAGTCAGTGAATCCTCAAATTGCGGTGGTGGGTAATGCTACTGAACACGGGATTGCATCAAAATAATTCCGAAAGTGATTGCAACATCAGGGTACACGCAATTAAAAGATCCAAATTGCTCAGCCTACCTCGTCCAATGTCAAACGCTCTGACGATGTAGCCGCTCGTAAACTCGGTCTCTCCATCCATGCATGGTATTTTTCAACGTGATGTGGAAGGTAAGGAACCAGACAAAGCCGCGGCGTGATCAGGACCACTGTGGAATTGATCCGCATCGCTAAATTAGAAAACCAGATCTAAGCGTGGCATCATGTACGATCAACTGAAGAAAACAAAAAGTGATCCGAAACGTTTATTTACAAACGACGTTATTCAGCTTTAGTAGTACGAGTGTACAGTTGTTGAGAGTTGTGCCGCGCGATGAGTTTGATGGAACCTAAGATAATGCAATAGTACGAACTCTAATACTTACCTCGACGGTGCAATTCCGACAATGCGTGACGTGCGAGGGATGCACGAATCTTCAGTCGCTCTGACACAACCGAGGGTGTGATTACTTTATATTGCGGAACCTCTTTCAGCAATTTGTCGTATGTTGGTTTGTCGAACAAAACCATGTTGTTCAACTTATCTCGGACTTTGCCCTTAGACCACTTCTTCTTTTTTGCCTTGCCACCGCCTCCACCCTCTTTGGGTTTCATAGGCTTCTTCTTCGGCGGCTCCTTTCCTTTCGCCGATTTTCCGGTGGTTTTAGGCGGCTAAGCGTGAAAAAAATTAGAAGAGACCAAGAACAGCACTCACCATGCCTAACGTGCAGTTGAAGAAAGTGGCTTCCCGCCAAGAGACCCTGTTAAACAAAACTCCCCAAACTACTTGAAGTTAGGGACTCAATGTGATTCTCGAGTTCGACTCCAAGCCCAGTGGTCACGGATCTTGGTGGTTGCCAGTGTTCGCTTGATATATAGTGTCCGCTGCAACCGTGATTAGGCACGATAGAACGAGACAGGACAGCTCAGAGTGCGACGAAACAGTCTTACTACGCATTCAAGCCAAACAACCGAGTAAAAGAGGTAGCTATGAAAGTAAAATGAGCTTAATAAACCTTACTCAAAGAGTGGGGAAGCCAACCAGCGTCGAGAGAGCGAAGCACTCGCAAGGCTAGAGAAAAGCAGCCCTAGGGAGGCGCCACAACGTGTTGATTGAAGGTATTCCAGAACCCTTCATGAAACAAGGGCGGAACTGAGAGAAGGGAATGCGATACCGCGTGGTGAACCTTTTGCGATAAAATACCAGGTCATGCAGCGGTCAAGCGTATGATGAGACTTGGTAAGTGGCACGGTGTTCCAGTTCCAATTCCAAGACCAAAGTTAGTGGAATTCGCCAATCTTAGTGTATGGATGGTCTCCTGGTAGCCGCTGGGATGATCCGGGATAAGACTGCTGGAAGACAAACCGACACGGCCGATGATTGGAATGACCACAAGCTACCAGTCCCCGAGCTTCACATTCTCAGGATAACCACCTCCAAATTACCAGTACCCAGTTTGAGGAGCCCCATAGGTATATGCAGTCTAGCACCGACATCAAGCAGGATGGGGGCTTCGCAGGGCACGGGGGCACCAATCAGAAGATCAGTAAGAAATCCGGCGGCCTCTAGCATGCCGACTGCGGTTGATCCAATGAATCGGAAGGAGGGTGCTGGACAGACGAGGGTAGGGACACAGTTGGGTGTCACAAACAACGGACGCAGCGCTCGGGTATAAGTCCCGAGCGACCGGTTTTCTTCCCCAGGGAACAGCGCCAAGAGAGGGAGAGAAACAAGTGGCCAGAAGTGGAGGCTCGCGTATCTTAAGCAGATGCCATCAACATAACTGAAACATGGCTAACTTCCAAAGCAGTTGAAAACTATGCTGTCCACAAGTTTCTGAAATGGGTTTGTCCAAACTGCACCAGCTCTATCGGAATATCCAGGGCGAAAATACTGCCTTCAAAAGGAAACTCTCCTTCACAGTTGGCAGTAAAAGCTCCTCCGTGTAACTGGACCCCAAGTAGGCAGATGAACAGAAGTAACCCTGAGCTAGGTACCCTGATGCCTGGGGAGGGAAACCAGCCTGGAGTAGTTAACGACCGGGAATGGATTTTAGTGGGGAAGCCTGAGCGTGATGAACAACAAATCACGTCAGCGGCACCCCTAAGCCGAGGGGTAGAGTCCAGCCCTAGGGCATGCGTTGCCAAATCGGTAACCGCAGGGATTAGTGTGCAGGCCGCCGGAAACATGAGGGGCACCAACAAGGCTACCCAGTGTCACTTGCCACTAAGGAAAGGGGCACTTGATGCGCGCATGGACGCTAGCGAGGAGGCCATTGCGAAGCTCACCGAAATCACCACCAGCCTGAGAGGCTCCGTGCATAGGCTCGAGGCCCATACCAACACAGCCCTAGGGAGAAACAGAAATATCGTTATCAGGGGCATCCCAGAGCCGTTTTGTAGAGAAACGCGCAGCCGCAGGTAAACGCTCCTACACCAGTAAGAAACATAATCCGACGCGCTCAGATCCCATCAGAGGTGCAGATCAAGCGGATGTTGCGCCTTGGGAAGTGGCAGGGCGATCAACGGACACCTATCGTCTTACCACCTACACCAATCTTTGTAGAGCTTTAGAACCCGGAGCATCGGAACTTGATGCTGGCGGCTTCCGCCAATGTGAGGAAGTTGACCGAAGAGCAGGTAACCATAGGGTCG